GGGAACATACCGTACAGGGGCCAATGGTGCCTGGTGCCTTGGTGTGCCCAGTACTAAGGGTGCCAAGCAGAGAGGTACCAATGGCAGAGCTGTGTCAGATGGTACCAGTCTGGAGGAGTGCTTATCCTTGCCCTCCTTGTCCCTCGTAGACAGTACTGGGGCCCTGTCAGAGCCAGGTACTTCTTTAGAGCTCCAGGACTTTCCAGCCTCGCCAGTTCTGGAGGAAGTGTTATGAGAGAATAACTGCAGCCATCTTGTGCATTCAGCCACCATTCCTTTGAAGTGAGAACATCACGTAGTCAGGAATAATTTTGTCTTTGCTGAAGAAGCAGACAAAACAGCTGCACGGCTGCAGTGTTGCTAATAAGGATTGATAAAGTGACAGATTCATGAGAATGGGAGAGGGTGTGGATAGCTGACCTTGGATCTGGGTGTCTGTGATCATGAGTTTTTTTTTTTTTTTTCTTAGAATTGCTTTGTTGATAAGTAGAATTATGAGTTCTTTGTTGTTGCTAGGGAAATTGTTAGCTCACTAGAGGTTACTATAAGTTATGTACTTTGTATTGAGCAACCTATAAAAATATTAGAGAATACAATTTGGAGAAAGATTATGACGAGCTAGGAGACTGACATCCAACTTCCCAGCGGCTATGACGAAGGCTGGCCACCAGAAGCCTGTTGCTGACCACTCATCACCATCTCAGACTTTGGGTAACTACATCTGGGGTGCTCTAGACTATTGTTATTTTAGATGTGTACTTTGGACTCAATAAAAACAAGGATTTGGGGGTGAAAGCACTCTTGTGTGTACCAATCATTTATCACATGGAGGAGCCATGTCCCCATTAAATTATGTCCTGAAGCCGCTTGGAAAACAAAGACTATTTGAAAACCCTAGGTAACAGAGGAGGCTTTTGCGTCTATGGTATGGATTCGAGAGGTTGAGGACTTTTAGGAGCCAGCTCCTTATGATGAGAGTTCAAGCTCCTCCTCTTCAAAGCTTTCCCTGAGGCCTCCATTGCCTTCCCCTTCTTAGGGGAAACCTGTGCTGAGATGCAAGGGGTGTTGGATCTGCCCAGAAACAGATGTATTGGTGGATGGGATCTTCTGACCTGACTCAGAAGCAGGTTGAAGGGAGCGCTCCATCAGCAGCAGCCTCAATTTAATCTCTCTGTTCCTCCTTGCTGTGGATTTGAGAGCCAGGCAGAAGTTGCACTTCTGGGAGACGTGGGACTCTCCCAAGCAATTGACACCCCTGTTGCTAACCAGGATAGCCTCTTGACAAGACAGGCAATGTTTGAAACCTGGCAAGCCAGGTATGCCCTGCCAGGAGAATAAGGCTCCCTGGAGGAAGGGGAAGGAGATGAAAGAAAGCCAATCCTTTCACTATTTAGATAGTTTACAGTTAGTTACATATAACAACTAACACTAAACTAAAAAACTATAGCTAAAGTGTTTAAGCGAATAGCCGAGGCATGCTCAAGGTAAATGCGCTAAGGCTCCATCTCAGGCCAAGGCGGTTCAGAAGGAACTGAGGGCAGTTTGCCCACACAGCCCCATACAGGCCCACCAATGGGGAGAGGGGAGGAAAGGAGGCAATTGCCCAGGGGCCCAGGCCGTTTAAAAGGGCCCGGGGGCCCCTGCCGTGGTAGCGGCAGTCAGGAGCCCCGGGCCCTTTTACATAGTCCGGGTGGGCTGCAGGGCTCCTAGGCGTGTGCTTCCGAGTCCCAGTGCCTGCCGTGGGCTGCAGAGTGGCTCCGCCAGGCCAGCCCACGAGGCTCCGTGCACCCCGCCGGACAGCGCCGTGGAAGGAGGGGCCCTGGGCAGCCGGAGGGTGAGATGGGCCGTAGCCCCTGGGGGCAGAGCTGGGGGGGGAGGAGCCAGCCCAGCTGCGGCAACAATCGCTACAACTTTGTATCCAGGAGCAAAACTTTCTGCATCCATTTGAGTGAGCCGGTGGGGGTGGGGGTTGTCGAGCTGGGAACAGAGCACGGGAGCCGAGCTCGGGGGTAGAGCCGGGAGCAGGGGAGCAGAGGAACTGGGCTGGGGATGGCTGCAGGGAGCCAGGCTGGGAAAGGAAAAGAGCAGGGGATGGGGGACAGTGGTAGGCAGGGACAACTGGGGGCAAGGAAAAGAGCGGGGTGGGGGAGGGCAAAGCTGGGCACAGGACCGCTGGGGGACAGACTCGAGATCGGACTCAGGATCCAGTAGCCACTGGTCCAACATCTGCAGCAAAGGCACTGGCAGTACCCCGCTGGGAGCCAGCCGGGTTTTGTCTGGGGTCTGCCAGGGAGAAGGGTGGGTCTTGGAAGAGGGAGGGTGGGTCTTGTTTCGGTGACAGCGTTGAGCTGGTGTGTGTGTGGGGGCGGGCGGTATTTGAGGCTATTTTGATTTGGGGCTGGTGGCTGTTCTTTGGGGTCATGTGGCTGATCGCATTAGGGGATTATCTCTGGTATCTGGCGATGGTTTGGGGGTGATGGGATGATTGGAGATGGGGGCTGGTAGTTGGGTGTGGGGAGGTATTTCTGTTGGGACTGTTGTAAAGGGAACAGTGATGGAGTCTCACCAGAGGATTTATTTATGTTCACTAATAATAATCCTGGTGGATGCTCCCTCACTGAACATTTTTAAATCAAGATCTAAAAAATCTGTTGTGGGAATTATTTTGGGGAAGTTCCATGGCCTGTGTTATGCACGAGGTCAGACTCACTAGATGATCACAATGGTCCCTTCTGGCCTTGGAATCTATGAATAAGAATGTAACGCTCCAAAAAGAGCTTCAACTGGTGCATGAGTAACATGTCAAAGAGGGACATACAAGCCTTGGGGGATTATCGTGAGAATTTTCATACATCCACAGCTGTTGGTTTAAAAAGCCCATGAGCACAGTGTAGGTAAATTTAATCATTATTTAGGTCACTGGTTAATGTTGGGACTCGCCCTCTCCCATATATTAGTACTCTGTTTCAGCCAGACTTTCAGTTAGGATTTTCCTTCATGTTCTGGGTGGGAAACTGGCAGAGGGATGGGGATTAGCTGGAACACAATGTCACAATGAATTTGGCTCAGGGAGATTAAATGACTTGCCTAAGGAAACCCAATGAATCAGTGGCACCGAGATAGAACCCAGACAGAGATAGAACCCAGTGTGCTGCTCTAACCTTTAGGGAACATTATATTAAGTATTCCCTAAGTTTAGGCATAAAAGGCCATCTTTTTAAAGGAACCTCAGTTTGGCCTTTTCAGATTATTGCATATGCAAATGATTGTGTGTGCAGAATTGTGTGCCACAAATGTAGAGTATTGGGGTTCTTTTAGCTGTAGGCTTTAGGAATGGGTCAAACAGCTTGACTGCCTTTCCGTGTATTTATTGTCATCTCTTGGAAGTTCATACTTATTTCTGGGAAGAGTTTTTACACAGAGATGAAGGATGATTCTGGGGGTACAGCAATAGGAGGTCTGTGTTCAATTCTCTGCCCTAGACTTCCTGCCTCCCATGGCTGGAGTGTGCAGTGGGGGCAGCGAAGGGCTGCCTATGATGGCACAATGCAGTGCCCATGGCAGGGGAATTCTCTGGCTGCTTGTGGTCTGGTTCGGGTGGGACCTGGATGGGGGGGGGGAGAAATGGGACAGAATGCCACCTTGGGTAAATCAAAATCTCTTTGGGCCTCCATTTCCTATCTGTAAAATGGTGATAGCAATCCTCCCTTTGTTTGTCTTGTCTGTTTAAATTGTAGTCTCTGTAGGGCAGGGAACTGTCTCCCTGCACAATAGGGACGTAATCTCAGTTGGGACCCATAGGTGCTACTGTAATACAAATCCATAAATAATAACAGCTGTAATGGTTCTCCACTGGGACCCGAATTATGGCGTTTGCACGCTCAACTACCTTTCGATACATTCCTAGTTTTTTGACCAGTTGTCTGGATTTTTTTTTTTTTTTTTTTTTTTTTAAGGTAAGACAGATCTCAGCTGGTTACTAGGGCATCAGGTTACCCCTGGCCTGGGGAAAGAAGGGGAGAGGGAATTCTTCAGTGTTGAGACATTGCACTGCAGATTCCAGACACAGAGCCTTCAGGTAGTGACACAGTTACAGAAACTGCAATTTATTCTGCCTCATCCTCCCGAAGGCCAATGAGAAGAAACTCCTTTGGTGATATAATGGGGAAGAGGCTAGGTGGTATCTGAGAAACAAGTAAATTCTGAAGCAGCTCTGGAGCTTGCACCAGTCCCAGGTGGACGGGAAAGGCAGCTGAATGGATACCCATGGGGAAGAGCTGAAAGTTAGGGTCTCTGTGGTTGGTAAATGTGTAGTAGAGAAAATGATCCATAGAAACACAGACAGTAGGAGACTGGAAAGAAGCAAAGGTTCCCCTGGGCCCAACTGTAGGAGATGCTGCGCCCATCCTTTCTAGGGGGCCCACTGACTGTTCTGCCCTGGGGCCCAGAATTGCTGTGGCGGGCCTGGCCCCATATACGCTTGTGTGAGGCACAAGGATACACTGGATGCCGAACAGACATTGCTAATGGAAAATCTCTGATCAAGGGCTCAAGAGGTGCATGCGCACCTGAAGTGGAGCGCCCAGAGGGACACTACTCGAAGAAGAGTAAGTTGTCTGATTACAAAGTCTCCCTGGCCCAGAGGCACTGTGTGGTCAGTTCTGCATGTGATAAATCCTTTATAAAGGCATTCAGTGTCCAGGGGTTTGCTAAATAGTAAAATCTTGAATTGCATTTACTGAAGACCCAAATATTTTCAGGAAACCAGCACTCAGAGATGTGACTCCCAATCTGATTATTTTAAGAGCCCAATCAATGTCCCAATTCAGTCAAAACTCCATGACTTTGTTCATATAACAGCAATAGGACTTTTGCTGGTTAGAACCCAACATCCATCCCCCAAATTTGTAGCATTCTAAATCAGTAGATTAGACTGGACTGAAACAAGATGATTGACTTTGGTGCAATAACTACTACTTTTTTCTGGCATATTTACTTACGAAGTGTTGCTTAAGTTTAGACAAAAACTTCTTCAATATTTTCTCATGATGTTCTTGAAACCGCAACAGTTTTGGAAAACCAGGAACAAAAAAGCCTAGGGGAAAAAAAAAAGGTAAATGTGCAGCATGTAACAGGGATAAGTTTCACAAAAAATTATCTTAAAGGTATCTAAAGATTTAAAAGTGTGTTGGTTTCAATTACATCCATTTTCAAGACTGCAACACTCAAAATAATGTACACAGTACATTTTACTACATTGATGCAAGAATAAGTGTAGGTTTTATTGTTCAAGCTACTGTGGTAAAATCTCAACCATTTTCCTATTGCCTATTTTCAATTTAATAATAGCTATGATGGATACAAGCTACATCAACTCTGATTTAGTCTGCACCACTATAAAAGCCCATGGCAAGCAGACTTTTTTTTTTTTTAATGGCAGATTCCAAAGAAGGTTAAAAACAGAAATCTAAAGTGTGGTTTTGCCCTCGACAGTGAGCGTAGAAAGGCACCTTCTTAGCAAGTCTGCTCTCCCTGTGTATTCACAAACCACACAGCTGCCAGAACTTGTGCAGCAGCAAAGGTAGAGAAAGAGAGAGAATATTAGGCAGGGCTCCCCACCCAGATGTGGAATTAATAAGAGAGCGTAATTTGAAGACCATGGGCTTGTACAGTGAAACTAAGGGCATAGGTAACCTGCGAAAACTTTATTGGTGATATGTCTGAGAATGAAGCAGCCAGATTGAATTTCATTGCCTCAGCTGAGTTTGCAGGGCAGGCAACAAGGGGAAAAAAACCACACATTTTTACTTGTAAACTGAGATAGCTGATATGAAAGTTAGTCAGGCAAGGTGGTTGAGGTAATATCTTTTATTGCACCAACTTCTGCTGGTGAAAGTAAGAAGCTTTTGAACTTACACAGAGCTCGTCTTCCTGGTATTTTTTCAGCAAAAGTAGTCCAATAAAAAAATATTACCTCACCCTCCCTGACTCTCTATTATCCTGGGACCACCATGGCAACAGCACTGCAACCAACATGGAAGTTAGCGCCGTAACAAACAAGGACCCCAAAATACTATTTTAATGGAACCAGTTTTCAGAATAGACTCAAATTTTAAAACCAAAAGATGCCTTCTGGCCAGCTGCCAATTCAATAATTCAGCACAATATGCAGAATGACTAAGCATTAAGACCTCCTATCTCAGAATCATGGAACCTATGTTAATATAGCAACTCCTCTGTCATATGAAAAAAGGAATGTCTGATGTTACCTACACTCAGCTAAGCAAAATTGTTTTCTTTTTATATTAACTATGAATCAGTACCTCAAAGCTAATTGTGCATCATTAATAATATTCAAAGATACCGTTGCTCTTTCCTTTCATACACTAATTCTTTAGCCTGAATCTGGAAAATAGTTATGGAAATCCTAAGGGAAATAAGCTTTCAAAAATTTAGATGATTTTTAGATCATACCTACATTTTATGATTTGGAGACTTCATGCCATACATACAGAAAACATTTAGGGTACATCTACATTTGGGGGGGGGGGGAGAGAAGAGGGGGACATATGTTTTGGGGGTTTCTGTCTTTTTTTCCCTGCAGTGTAGATGTACCTTACAGTCAAGTCCATCCATTGATTTCAGTGGACTTATACCAGAGGTTAGTTGGGTTGTATATTTTGAGAGACTGGAAAAACAGTCTGAGTCCGCAGGTCACAGGTGGATGGCAGATGAAACAAAGTGCTTTGTTTATTTATAGAGAGGAACTTTTTAGCCCTGCTACTCTAGGCAGCACCTTTTTTTAATTGCACTACTCAGCCATCACTATCAGCCATTTATTTCAGAGAGTGATGTCTTATTGGCATCAAGCGTGAGAAGAGTCATTTCCCCCAGGTTTAGAATTGAAACGCATGCATAGCAACAATTTAGACTTGAAATAGTTTAAGGGCTACTTTTTAAAAGATGTACACAGGAAGAAACGCAAATAGCAATGTGTATGCATACTTCACGTAAATCAATTTGAAAGTTTACTCTTTAGCATCTCCAGTGTTTATAGTAATGCTTTCACTGCTGTAAATGGATTTTAGGTATATAAACTGAAGTGCATTTGATTATTTGGGGGCGGGGGTATTATTCATTCAAACGATAGTTAAGGTTATATGTTAGCACATCTATAAACACAAACTTCCCCACCGGGGTGTTGTAAGGCTTAGTTAATACTTTTAAAGCACTTAAGATCTTCCATTTGAGAATCTCAAAGTGCTAAGTATTTTATCAATCATGTTTTTAGGAATTTTATAGCCTTGATGGAAAAGAATTCGCTCCAAGCTCAAACTTGTCAAGCAATAATTTGGCCTGGGAGGGAATATTTTAAAACAAATTTCATTAAAATTAAATCCAGCCATTTTCAGCTTACACAAGCGATGGTAATGGTTTGTGAGGGGGAAATGGGGCACACTTATTTTTATTCTGTTCCATTTATTCCAGTCTGCTCATAGCCCAATTGTTCATATATGTAAAAATGTACATGCCCAGCTCTGGCAGTAGTGTTTGTTAGCTACCAGCTCAGTGCAGACAAGCTAAAGGAGCATACACACAGCAACCCTCATGGAACTCCTTCACCATCAGCCAGTTGGGTGCACTTGGGTTCACTGTAGCAGTATGAAATGACCCCTGCAAAAGCGAATCGCTTTAGAAATTTATTCTATCGGAGTTCCTCAAAGGCATCATGTTAAGAGCACAAATCCAAGGGTAAGAATCTCTCCTGGCAACAGTGTGATGTGCCCAAACACCAACATTTTAAATCTGGAGGACGTTCTTTATCCTATTTAATAGTTTACAGAAGACTAGCTTTTGGCCCAAAACAGCATCCCTCGGTGGTGGTAGGGGAAAGCCTACAGGTGTATAGAGGTCATATGTACTACAGATGGGTAAACTAGTTTGGAAAATAATAAGAATGGATTAGTTTAGTTTACATTGGTTTGGAAAAGGTAAAGAGAAGGACAACAAAAATGATTGGGTATGGAACAGCTTCTGTATGAGGAGAGATTAAAAAGACGGTGACTGGGCTTAGAAGAGAGACGACTAAAGGAAGATATGATAGAGGTCTATAAAATGAAAAAAGGTGTGGAGAAAATGAATAGGGAAGTGTAATATAACCCTTCACATAACACAAAAACCAGGGGTCACCCAATGAAATTAATAGTCAGCAAGTTAAAACAAATATGAGGAAGTACTTCTTCATACAACACAAGTCAACCTGTGGAACTCATTGCCAGGGGATGTTGTGAAGGTCAAAAGTATAACTGGATTCAAAAAAGAATTAGATACGTTCATGAGGGTAGGTCCAAGATGATCAGGGCCGCAACCCCATGCTCTGGGTGTCCCTAACCCTCTAACTGTCAGAAGCTGGGAGTGACAGGATGATAGGGGATGGCTCACTCAATAATTGCCCTGTTCTATTCATTCCCTCTGAAACATCTGGCACTGGCCACTGTCAGAAGGTAAAGAACACATAGAAAATACTAAAATTTAAAAGTAAATAAATTAGAGAGAAAACACAATTATATTTAATTAACAAAATGGTGGAACGATAGAATTCTGCGTGAGGCAGAGATACAGCTTGCCAACAGTTTACCCTTAGCTCATACCATTGTGACTACCTACAGCGTTAGTTTTAACTGTGGCTTTCCAGCTTTGCCAGTTGATGTCACAGCCATTTAACAGGTTTTTTTATATGGTTTTCATTATTATTCAATTGCTATATAAATGTCTGCACTACCAAATTTCGACACTGCCAGGCAAAGATAACTGAAGTAACTTCCATGAATATCAGCAATGAAGTCCAGAAACACAGTCCTTAGAATAAATACCTGTAAGTGCAGCATTTAACATAGAATAATAGCTTTATCTGCATTTTACAAGGCTCTGACAAAGTGGCATTTGTAACATTACTTTACAGAACAAATCAGTGGCACTAATAGCTGAAGCAGAAACACTGATACACTTAAACAAAGTGACAGCTCTAAGAGAACTTTTGGGTATTTTCCCAGAATAAATCACACTCTTTCTCACGCACACCCCTTTTAATGGGACACAAGCAGAATAATATTAAAGGATGGGAAATTTTCATTGATGACTACTCGTAGGATATAACCTATAAAACAATCATATGAAATTGTAGATAAGTGTTAACCATATTTATTAAGAGATTATTACGCATTATTTGTTCTGCAGTAGAATGCAACAGCCCCACACAAGAGAAGGGCCCCGCTGTGCTAGGCACCGAACACATGCAAGTGGATATTGCCCCTGTCTCAAACAATTTATAATCTAATTAGGACATGTTGAAATTTAATTTTTACTATGTGAGCTGAAATACCATACCATGCATAGCATGTTTAGGACCTGAGAGTAGTTTCACCAGGGCCCAGAAGGCATCTTCTTCATTCATGTACATGAGGAGTAAAGCTGTGATCTGGCTCATTCCCTGACAGTATCCAACCTCCTGAAATTTAGAGGACAGGAAACATTAACTTCGTAAACAAAAAAACAACAACTATTTGTGTATTTTTTTAACATGAGAAAACACACCATTTTTGTAATAAGCTCTCTAAATATGGCAAACCCACACACCCCTCAAATTTTCATCGTTAAAATTTTCCTTTAAACTCTATTACCATGCCTATTCAAAGACAAAACATATTATACTATAAGTGATAATTCGCTGTCTTCCAACTGGTGCTTGAACTGGCTTTGGCCTTTCATTAAAATACAGTATATTTGTACACGAAATCCTTTATTTTAAAATGTTCGCATATAATTTATATGAACCTACACCCAGAACAGATGCGTTTTCTATTCTCCATGTGGAGCAGCACAGTATATGGCAAGAAGATACTGCAGATACATAAACAAGTGAAACAGACCTCTCTCCTCTTATTCAAAAACAGTAGCAATGAAAAACAGAAAACCCTACAAGGCTACTGAACTAATATATTAACTCCTATGGTGGGAACCAGCAATAAGAAATATCAGACTGCTTAAGTAAGGATTATTACTGACTTTACAAAACCAGCTGCTAATGTATATTTGATGAGAAAGAGATAATTATTGAGAAAGTCTTTTAGACAGATGGTTTCGTCGCAAAAACTTTGGCCAAGGAAGCCTTTTAATTTGCTTTAATGCTGAAAGATAAAAAGGAAACTAGCTAAGAAGTCTGAAACAACTGATATATAATAAAAGAGAAAAAATGCAACAACAAGCCTAAATACTAATCTTTTTCTATTTGTTTAAACACTACCAATGTCTATATAATATCCATTGATTTTAAACAGCATCTTTCATGTAATATAAATTATTATTAGTTAATCCAAACAATGTGCTGTGGAAAACAAAGAAAGTCCCTATCAGAGTTTTAATCCTAATTGTAACCCTAAACACCGTACAATCAAAAATCTAGGGCACCTATTAAATGACAGAAAACATAATTTTAGAATTAAAAACAGTAATATTAGCTGTGTAAAGTTAAACACAACTATAAAAATGTTTGCAGGATGGGGGCATAAATGAGTAAGCACAGAAGTGGACATCTGACAACATTTACATTACTTACGTTTTTAATAGGCAACTCAGAATTAAATGCTACAAACCAGGAACATTTCGGGCACATAACACGAGATCTAAAAACCCCAGTTCGGGAAAGCACCGCCATTCAGGACAAGAATGGAAAACTTACCTTACGAGAGAAGACTCAAAGAGCTTGGCTTGTTTAGCCTAACAAAAGGCTGAGGGGAGGAGATATGATTGCTCTCTATAAATGTCAGTGGGATCAAATACAAGGGAGGGAGAGGAGTTCTTAGTTAAGCACCAATGTTGACAAAATAAACTGGCCACCAATATATTTAGGCTTGAAATTAGATGAATGTTTCTAAACATCCGAGGAGTGAAGTTCTGGAACAGCCTTCCCAGGGAAGTAGTGGGGCCAAAACACCTAACTGGCTTCGAGACTGAGCTTGATAAGTTTATGGAGGCAATGGTATGATGAGACTGTTTACAATGGCATATAGCAGTGGTGGGCAACCTGCGGCTCATCAGGATAATCTGATTGGAGGCTGCGAGACATTTTGCTGATGTTGGCCCTCTGGAGGCACTGCCCGTCGCAGCTCCCGGTTCTCTGTTCCCGGCCAATGGGAGCTGTGGGAAGTGGCGCCTGCAGGCGAAGGGGCTGCAGGGACGTGCTGGCCACCGCTTCAACAGTGTTTGAACTCAAGCTCCCAACAGTGTTTGAACTCAAGCTCCCAACCCTACAACAGCCAGATTGAGCTGGCAACAGTTCAGATCTTTATGTAAGTTGAGAAGTATTTTCAGTAACTTTTGCAACATTGTTTAAAAGACCCATATTTGATCTCAAGTGTACATGAAACATGACTTACCGTATTATATATTGAATATGCAGCTAAAACATGGAATAAGGATTGTTGCCTGAAGAAACAAAACAGTAAGTAAATGAAAATATTTAATATTGTTTTTAATAAAAAACAGAAAGCTACTGAATCTACTTTCTGAATATCTGTTTCTCCAATTTGTCTAATTTCAAAAACAGAGAAATATACTTCATAATCAAAACAGATGTAATATAATCAAACAATACTTACTACTTATAATGGTTTACATAAAAACATAAGAATGGCCATACTGGGTCATAAGAACATAAGAATGGCCATACTGGATCAGATCAAAGGTCCATCCAGCCCAGTATCCTGTCTACCAACAGTGACCAATGCCAGGTGTCCCAGAGGGAGTGAACCTAACAGGTAATGATCAAGTGATCTCTCTCCTGCCATCCATCTCCACCCTCTGACAAACAGAGGCTAGGGACACCATTCCTTGCCCATCCTGGCTAATAGCCATTAATGCTTAACCACCATGAATTTATCATATTCAAAGTACTTAAATAATAACTAACTAATAATGTAACACCTCTAGGAAATAAGTGGGGAAACACATCAATTTTACAGCTGGGGAAACCGAGGCATAAACTGAGTAAGAGTTACATTCTCAAAGCATCCACTAGTTTTGCACGTCAGTAGGGTTGCCAACCCTCCAGGATTGCCCTGGAGTATCCAGGAATTAAAAATTAATCTTTCATTAAAGATGGTCATGCGATGAAACCTTCAGAAATACGTCCAACCAAAATTGGCAACCCTACGTGCCAGATATGAGACTCCTTGGATCTGATTCTTAGAACTGCTGAGCACCAGCAGCTTTTATTCATTTCAGCGGGAGCTAAGAAGGTTCAGCTGTTCTGAAACAAAACAGGCCCAATGTGTCTTAAGCTGGGAACTCAAAAATTGAGGCACCCAAAACTAGAGACCAATTTGAAAATTTAGGCTTAAATGACTTTCCTGAGGTCCCACAGTGCATCAGTGGCAGACCCAGGAACAACACTTGGGAGACGGACTCCTATTCCTGTGCCTGGTCTTACGCAACTTGCTGTCTCTCATACATGCTTTGAGAAAGCTTTGCCCTATTTAATAATTACTCTCCCTTTTTCTTTCTATATTACCCCATCATGTTCTAATTACTATTTGTTAATATATTAAAATTGAAAGTGTGAATTCTGCTTCCTCTCCAATTTAGGAGTTAAGTAATGTTGAGTGTAGAGTTATGCAGAACTTCCATAATGAAATCCAAGATTTGCTGGAACTGTGTGTAAACGTCAGCAAACAAACTTCAAGGTTTGTTCAGAACTTAGAGTCTGGGAATGTAAGCCAATATCAACCAAAACTAAAAACCATAGAAATGAAACTGCTGAGTTTTGCACAGGTCTAATCAGCTATCCTGCATCCCCAATGCATTCTTCCCCTTCCCCATCCCTGAACCAAAACTTGTAAATGTCTTTTTACTCTTCTGCTGACTGTCAAACAAAAATGTTATGTTTCCCGTTAATGGAGATGGGAGGGAATAATCTGTTAACCTTGGCGAGCACTTCCCCAGGTCAATTAACAGTGTTTCCTCTGAACATGCTCACTGCATGATTATGTGAGTAGATACCACTTATTTATAAACATGTGTGGGTGTGCTGTTAACGCTGTACAGAGGTCAGGAATGTGTGTGTGTGTGTGTGTATTGTGGGGTGTGTTGTTTTTTTGTTTTTTAAGCCCTAAACTCATGCACTTTGATTCCAAAGTTTTATGATTGCCACAGAAACAATATGGGCAAAAGAATGGATGTTGGACTTCAGTTTCTACCTTCCTTTAACTATTGAATGATGATGAATTATTATGGTACTAGACATTAAACTTGAGTCTTATTTCTTTCAAAGGACAATTTCTTTCACTTTATTTGGTCTTTGATTGCATTGGGTGATTAAAGCATGTTTATTTTCATTTGAAGAAAATTTGCATTTAACCACATATTTCTTCTTATTCATCCAACGCAGACCCACTTCACAAGGAAAATGGGGGACATTTTAAAGACAATCTGCACTGGCAGATAAACAAAGAGGTGAGTAAAAGGCTCCATTCATATCTAAACGTGGGCTTCATAAGCAGATTGTGTTCTGCATTTTAAAAAACTGCATCACACTTCATTAATTCAGTTTAAGAATTTTAAAACAAAAAAGCGCATTCAGCTTTCTCTCAAGGTTTAATGTCAATGTATGTATGAAACACTACACTTTCATATGTCAGACACATGAAAATTAAATTAAGACTACATTAGATTAGAAAATCTTGGTTTAACTTCTCCTGGGGTAAGTGCTATAGGATTTAACTGAGCAAAGACATCTTTGATCAGACATAAAATTATTCTTCTTTAATAGTATGTGTGCACATGCATGCACGCACACATTATTTCCCTTCTACACAAACATGCTTCCTTCACTAATTTCTTTTTGTTAATCTTTAGGTATATACTTAAGCAAAATATTCTGACAGTTTTCATTGCTGTTGTTTTAACAATGAAATATTGAACTTGCTTTTTAAACTATTTATATTGAAGCTACATTGCTTTAAATTATTTTTAGCAGGACAAACTAAGAGCCGGTCATCATCATGTTTGAGCAATTCTGCTTATCTTTTTCCACAGGTTTTAGAACCTGGACTTGGACCAAACTCTCAGAGTGGCCATGCAGGGGAAGAAGCCACCCTGACTTCTGCGCTGCCTTCGGAGAGTACAGCTGCAGAGCTTCTTGCAGCCAGGGGAGGTACCTGGAAGTGGGACTGATCTCCCTCAAGAGCGGATGTGTAGGGGAAGAGGAAGTCCTGTCCCTCCCCAGCCTGGCTGGGACCAGTAGCTAGGAGCCCCCAACTGGGGTGCTCCAGCAGCACGGGGGAGATCAGACCCACCTCCACGAACCTCCTCTGGCTGCAGGAAGCTCCACAGCTGCTGCCTTTGGAATCCAACTCTGAAGGCAGCATAGAAGTGAGTGTGGCAATCCAGCAACCCCCCTACAACAGCCTTGCAACCCCCCCACGATACCCCTTTGGGTCGGGACCCCCACGGTTACAACACTGTGAAATTTCAATGTAAACATCTGAAAACATGAAATTGACTAACTTTAAAACCCTCTGGCTGTGAAATTGACCAAAATGGACCCTGAATTTGGTTGGGCCCTAATTATGAGGTGTCAAACTTCACAGGGACTCTGCACAAATCAGATGGAAGGAAGTAGCCAAACGAAAACTAAATGTAAAGGGCACAATATTACTATTATTGTCTAACATTAACTAGCTTTAACTAGTAACATTTTAATACTATTTACCCTAAATGTTCCCACTAAAGGCCTAAAATAGGATGAACACAAAAACATTCAGAAGAATACAAACTGTTGAAAGGGTAAGCAATTTACTTTCAGGAAAAAAAAATAACTGGACTCCATTACTTTAGTGCAGGATATGATTACTGCACTTTCACCAAATGCCATTAGAAGTGGCACTGGAAATACACAATGTGGAAATTCCACGATCTACCACGGATTTAGGGTTGCTACCCAAAATGTTTATTTCTAGATTTCTACAGAATTTAAGGATTTCATTTAGACTCTCTGTTCTCAAGGACACAAATCTTGGGGTATTTTTTACTTGTCTGTGACGTATCCTACGCAACGTTCTACAATAATATGAATAACAAAGTAGTAAACAAAATAACACATTTTAGTTTATCGCACTTATAACTGTGAATATAACCTTTGGAAAGTGAACAAATGCAGTGAGGTCTTCCAGAAGCTACTGAAAAAGAATGAAATGATACATTTGAAGAGGAGTGAGATGTGTCTAAGGGTACGTCTACACTACCTGCCGGATCAGCAGGTAGCGATCGATCTATCGGGGATCGATTTATCACGTGTAGTGTAGACGTGATAAATCGATCCCCAATCGCTCTCCCGTCGACTGCTGAGCTCCAGCTCAGCGAGAGGCGGAAGCAAAGTCGACGGGGGAGCCGCGGCCGCCGATCCCGCACCGCGAGGACGCCAAGTAAGTAATTCTAAGTCGATCTAAGATACGTCGACTTCAGCTACGCTATCCTTGTAGCTGAAGTTGCGTATCTTAGATCGATCCCCAACCCCCCCCAGTGTAGACCAGGCCTCATTCATCTCAATGGGGGTGTTGACCCTGAAGCCTAAGAACAATGCTATCATTTGGTATGTTTATGTTAAAGATGTTTAAATTGTGAAATAGTTAACTAATATTCTTTATCCAACAACTGTAAAACAAAATATTGCAAAAAAAGTCTGAAAGTATTAAGGTGGCAAGGTTTAATTATATAAATATATTACATGTTCATAGCTAAAAAGTTGCTTTATTTGGTTCTCAAAACTACACTCTGAAAGAGGGAAAATACAGAAAATCTAGGAGAAGACTAAAAGGCTAGAGGGGAGAGATTAAAGTTATCAGAGAAGTAAGAAAAACATTTTTTTTAACAACATTACTCTATAAAGGTATACGTAATTTATTAAAGAATTTAGTCTTTTCTTGTGCTTTGAATTTGTTTTAAATAGCAACAAATTTTCTCAGAATTTGTAAAAATGTCTACAGCATCTGGGGGATAAGAATTTAGACTTTTTCCTTTAGATTTCCAGTGCCCATAGCGTTAATACATTAAAGGGTAAAGCTAGCAGGCTGGAGATTAAACAAGCTGATTTTGAACTATTCAGAGACTACATTCCTTTAAGCTATATGTGGTACGTTCTGAAATCTGAAACTTTTACATTCAAAGCTCTGTCATACTTCTTGGGTAGTAAAAGGAGTCTTAGGTAGGTCAAATCTATCTGAAAGACAAACCAGGAATGACTGAATTAAATACATTTTTATTCACTTACTTAACACCATATCTGTCTCTAAACATGATATGATCCCTATATGTTCGATTTACATCAAGATCGATTTGCCTGATATCTGGTGAAGACCCTCGTGCTCGATGTTTTAATTTCTAGGAAAAATGGCAATAAAGAAAAGAAATTAGGCAAAACTCTGCTGACATCTAAAATAGGAAGAGAAACTGCTTAAAGCCACAGAATTTATTAGTGGACAAAAACATTTGTAATCTGTGAACTTACAATGCTTATTATAGAAAATGACGGGGAAACAAAGAAAAGCCACGTGGGAGTTGGGGGTGGGGACACACATGGGCGTAATGGGGGGGGCATTGTCCCCCCCAACAGAGGCAAAACATGGGTGAGCATGCAGGGTCACATGCCATTGCCACCTTTCCCCCATTTCTGTCAGCGCAGAGCTGCCCGGCTGAAGGAAGTTGGTGCTCAAACGCTGCCTCCTGGATCCTAGTGGTGGTTGTGCTCCCCCCGGGGTGTTTCTGAAGCAGGTCCAGCCCTGGCACTGTGTCAGGGTCGGGTGCAGCCTCACCACCGAGTCCTTGTCCTGGGGGGGTGGAAAGGTGGCTGCAGAGTGATCTCCCAACTCCATGCAGCCAGTGGCTTGTGCTCCCCACTGCCATGCTGAAGTGTCCACAATTATTTATTGACAAATAAAATTTGCAGAATTTTTATTTTTTTGGCACAGAATTTTAAAATGTTTGGTACAGAATTCCCTCAGGAGTATAGTTTTTAGTTTCCCAACTTTGCACATAGCTGGCACCTTTCCAAATTGGATTATGACTTTTTTCATGATTATTATGAGAAGCCTTAATAAAATCCTACCAAGGCAGAAAAGGATAAATGAAGACTGCTATGACAGCATTAGCTTACAGGTTTCATTGTTTTACTTACAGGTCTGGCACTTTGGCAATATCTAAGTTAGAGATTGGGTTTCTTTCTCTGTTTGTTTTTGTATTTCACTTCTCAGTATGTTGTTTGGGTTGAATTGTATAATCACTTTACAAGTTCCCAATACAATTTTAAATTTAAGATATATTGTAGGATGGGAGGTAGATAGACAGTGCTTCTGTGTCTATCCCCTTTTGGGGGTTAGACTGACAATCATAACCAAAGAACTCCAAATATATCCTCACTTCCACACTAGAAAAAGGATCTTCTCCTATAACTTATATGTATTCGTCACAGAATAGGTCTCCTTCTTGTTTGGCATTTTCCTTAATATTTTCATCTTTGTTCTCCAAATGCCTGATACACCACACTAATTGAACCTGTACAGTATTAATATGACAGTGTACCCAAAAAGTTATTCTTGTGTCTAGGCATACTTTCTATGTAGAAAGTTCCCCCATCACAAATTTCTGTGACTAGCTTGTAAATTCTTTTAGATTTATAAAAGGCATATTCATTCTTGTGTGAATTCAGCAGAACCTCACTTATCCATATTTTATGTAAAATTACTACCTCCATTTCTCAGCAAAGATTTAGCAACAGATAGCTGAAATGGGTCTCAAAAGCCAGAGACTTAAAATACATTTACCAAAAAAAAAAACCTACAGAAATGTGCTTTCCTCCATTAGAACATTGGCTAGGACATTATGAAATATTATAATAAACTAAAATACAGATGCCAAAATAAATCAATAAAGCACATTTCATGATACCTAGCTTTGTTTATTTTTATTGTGCTTGTTCTCTTAAGTTCTCAAAATTCAGTAAATTGCAATATCCTCCCCAGTAATTACTGCAAACTAACAAGGTTCTGTTTTAATAAGCATTTGCGGAGTACTTTACATCTTCAAAGTGCTTTACAAACATTAAATTAATTCATCTTGGTTATTCTCAAAGCTTGATTTTAATGTTTTCCCTCTGACCAATCATTCAAATACATGAAACTCCTCTGGAGTCAAACAATCCAGTAATTGTTTTATTTTTAAAACTTACTGAACATTTTTATTTACCACCATACTTTCTTTTTAAAGAAATCTGCCTCCAGCTCCAAGAGAACAGTGGGAACCACTGCCAAAGTTTCACCAGATGAGGGCAGGATCATGAGATATAGTGCTTCAAGCTTACTTTCTGGCTAGTGATTAGTATGGTCTTTCACCTATTGCTGCCTCCTTCTGCAAAGCAGAAATCAAACTTACAGGGCTTCAGGGTTTTTTTAGGGCTTGTCCGTACATGAAAATGAATCCAGAATAAAGCAGGGGGTGAATTTGAAGTGGATGAACTATATTCCTTATTGTTTGGATGTTCTTATTTCAAATTAACTTAATACATTTCCAAAGTGGATTAAGCTAATTCAGAATAAGGAGTCATTCTGGAATAAGAATAAAAAACAAAAGGGGAAAAAACCCACACACAAAGCTCCCCTCCTAAAATTACTTTTTTCACTGAATTAAACAGATAGGGCGTTTTGGGGGGAGGAGGCGGGGAAGAGAATCTGGGAAAAGATTCTGCTGAGTAAATGATGCTACTTTTATAGTCATTTCTCTGAGTAGAACTGCACTTTAATTATTTTATTGATGGGGGAAGGAATCAGAAGAATTACATAAATTACAAACCCCAAAATAATTGGGTCAAATGCTGAGCCCGCATGGGTTTCTCCTTGGCTACAGAGTGAAAATACAGTTAAATACAATTTCTACTCCTTTTGATACATTGCATAAAATAAAAGCTCAATATTTCCCAGGATCTAAGTGTTTGTGATTGGTAATTCTAAGGGGAAATTTGCAAACTCACATTATAAAAGTCTTTCATTTCTTCTTTCATTTTAGGGACATCAAGTAGTAAACACCAGATTTCACCTCTCAGCTGCAGTGGGATTCCTTTATAAATTCTCCTATGGAACTGTAAAAAGAAAAAAATAATATAAATGCAGAACAAGCCAGAAAACCTTGAGCTGAGTGAGGGCCTTCCCTGCATCAAGCATTATTATTAAAAGAAGAAGGTCATAATATTATCAATCAGCCCTGAAGTAGTACTGGAAGTATTTTGGCAGCTTCAGTGCGTCTAATAAATACTGTTAACTGGGCTCCCTGTTGGCAGCCTTAGTAGAGAGGCCAAGGACTAGACATGGAGACCGAACTATCCTCATTCCTGGAAGAGGCTCTTCCAGGTCAGGACATGCACAATGGCAGGACTAGTTGGAGAAACTTACATTGCTGCTGCCTGTGCTATACTTGTTCCATGAGTAGAGAACTGAAGCGTTGTCAGTCTGGCACTGTACATAAAAGCTCAAACAAAATTAGTTCCAAAGTAGTCCACATGTAACTCGCTATTATTATGCAGTGTGAATTAAGAAGTTAAAGTTTCTGAGAGGTGAAAAAAAGATAATCCAGTAGTATACAACAACTCTGTGAAAAATTAGTAACACTCAAAACATGTGGCACTATCCTTTTTGAAAATTTCTTGTGGGACTAACACTGAGGGTATGTCTACACAACAATCAGGAGGTGTGAGCGCAGCTCGTGTGTCATACCCAAGACGACTTTGATTTAGCTCAAAATGTAGCCACAGCAACATGGGTGGTAGCATGGCTAGCCACTTGAATATGTACCCATGGTCCTGGACAGGGCTGTACACAGGAGGCTAGCCGTCCCGCTGCCCCTGCTGCCATGGCTACAATGCTATTGTTTCTCAAACCAGCTTTGATCTCTAGCTAGCTCAAGTATGCCTACAGGAACTACACTCAAATCTCCTGATTGCAGTGTAGACTTACCCTGAGTTGAAGTGCATGCAAGTATAAGACCACCACAAATACAGGAAATATTACATATCAAACTAACAGATTTCAGGTTAGCTATTCTGGTAACTGTCACATTTGGAGAGACCTGATCAGAGTCAACTAATAAGTAATCAGACATTTTTTCCACTTAGCTGTGCATTATAAAACTTACAAATTATACAAAAATTCTCAGAGGATTTAATGCTTTTGGCTGCGGTGACAAATACTGCATGGTAGATAGTCATGATGTAATAGTATTGCCCGATTCAATGCCAATACATGTTGTGAAAGTTAGTTTTAATTATGCAATACAAATTAGTTTCCCCATAGATATGTTGTTACACTAAGACACATACAGAAAGGATGAGAAATGGGGGAGAAAGGCACAACTCAGTCCTTGTACATCTCCTTCAAATTACACAGCCCATCCACCAGCACGTAAAAGCAACCACCATGTTTTTCCATTCTTTTTGGAAGTACTGCCTCTAAAACATGCTACTGTACTTGGGCTACAGGAAACACCATCAAAATTGTCAAACACTGGAAAAGCCCAGCATGAACCAGAAGAAGTAAAGGTTGGCTCAGTGAGGACTCATCCAACCCTCCATTTCCCACAGGATTTGTGGCCCAGTGTGGAACCCTTTGAGAGAAGGAAAGGAGATAAAGAACAGAAATGGATGATACTCTGGAGCATTCTTCCCACTTACAAAATCATTCCAATCATTCCTGGAAACAATGCTTTTAAATGATGGTACTTCTTTGAATGCCATCTACAAAATAGTATCCTTTTGCAGATATGGTTAAGCAAGCACATGCACCTCACCCACAGCAGGTCTCAATAGCTCTGTGGTAAGCAGAAATCCCTGTTGGTTAGCAGTAGAAAGATCATTAAAATAGTAAGCAATAGGCCAGTATTAAATCAAATAGTTCTGATGCTCCTATATCCAGTGCAATACATTTCTCATTCCCCTATGGAGCAAGCAGCATGTTCCGGTGTTAATATACTTGAAGATATAAAACTGACCAATATGTGATTTAACGTAAAAATATCTTTGAGTTTATATATTTTGAGTTTTTTTAATATATATACACACACCCCCATGCCATACACCCCCAGAGGAATATGTAGGATATTGAAAATTTTAAAAAGTATATATTTGGACAAATGGACTGGAGGTTAAGAATGAATCGTTTCTATTTACTTTGCCATTTGCAGCGTCTTATGTTGTACCCACCACTGTAGTACTTGTGCATCTAAAGATTTTGCTGTTATTATATCACAGAAAATCTAGACTGACTCTTACTGTGTACTGCATTTCTTCTCACCCATTATCCTAGTATATCATAACTGAAAGCGTGAGACAGTACACAATATCAGCATAATTAAAAAACATAGATCTTTCTTCTGAAATTTGGTAACTGGTTTTGTAGTCATTTCATGCGGCTAAAACATTGACTATAAACCAAACGAGAGGTAATTCAATAATAGATCTATTGGATTTTTTTTTTAACACGCTTTGAAAGTCGCAACAGATCAAGTGACAAGTTACTGCATACATAAAGCATCTGTATGAATTATGATTGTAATCTAGGCAACAATTTAAAAACAATTCTCCCACCCCAAAGAGAGAGAATCTTAGTCTTACTTGTGATTTTAACTCAAGTTTCCAGAGGTGAAAGGCTAGTAAACAAGCCACGGGGTAAACCTTAGGCTAGTGGTTCCCAAACTTTAACAGCCCGCGAACCCCTTTCACGAAATTGTGAAATCTCGTGAACCTCCTCCTAAAAATGAATATTTCCAGGGATTTACGTTTAAATTTCCTCAGTGTGATGGATGCGCTTGCTTTGCTCTGCATAGCTCTTGGAAGTCCGGAACCACTGGAGAAAGATAAAGTCTCAGGTCTGGTAACACAGACGGCTAACAACCAACAAACTGGAAAATGAGAAGATTCACTCAAGTCTCACTGAAGCAAAACAGCACTCCAGAGAAAATGACAATTACTGAGGCACCTTAACACTGTTACACTGGCTACAACGTGCTTCCGGCTGGTTTTGATCACAAACAGCTTTACTTCTGCCACAAGGGTGCCCTGCGAGGGACAAATTAGCTTGGACCATCCCCCACGTACAGCGTGGCCTCTGTTCACTCTGCCCTTGATGCCAACTTCCCCTGTCTGACAAGGACAGGGGTCTGAGCTGCCACCTGCGCTACCGGGGTCTCAGCTGCCGCCCTGTCCACCACAGGCTCAGGCTACTGGCCCCGCACCAGGGTCTGGGCTGCCGGCTCTGCACTTCGTGGGGTTCCTGCTGCTGGACCCCGTTGACCGCCCCGGTCCACTGAGGTCGGGCTGCAGGTCCCACTGACCGCCGGGGCTCGGGCTGCTGGCCCCAACTGCCTGGCCCAGCTCGTCCTGGAGCTTGGGCTGCCAGCCCCGCGTGGAGCGCTGGGGTTTGGGCTGCCGGCTCCCCCACTGACAGGGGCAGGGCTCGGGCTGCCAGCCCAAACTGCCCGGCCCCACTCTCCCTGGGGCTCGGGCTGTCTTCCCTGCAACCGGGTCCCACCTGCTGCCTCCAATGCCTGGGGTCCTCTGGCTGCCATTAGTGAATTTTTTCTGGTGAACCCCCTGTAATGTTCTGCGAACCCCCAGGGGTTCATGAACCCCAGTTTGGGAACCACTGCCTTAGGCTATTTGGGCAACAGAACTCCCTATCTTAAAGATACATTATCAAGTAGTTCAGATCCAAGCTTTAGGTTTAGGAATGTACTAGAGAGACTAGACAATTATTTAAATTTTTAAAAATCCAAGGACCAGAGGCCCGTTCCCAAGTACAATATGGAAGGCTAAAAAGCATGAAGAGTAGTGGCCAAGTTAGAGCTTCTCAAAGATAGGGGAATTTATCATTCAATTGCCATCTGTACAATACAAGGCAGATGTACAGAATCCTTCACTATTCCAAAAAGTAAATTCATATCAACCAGAACGATTGCCAACCTCAAAAAGCTTGCTGTCTAAAGGCAAATCAGACACGCTTGTATGTGCTACAATTTATATACAACACATTTTGCTGCTATTATTCCATAACCTAAATTTCTACATGATTTAGTCAGCTTCATGCATGTTAAAAGGCCGGCAAATGCTTGGGTGAGAATTTTCATTTAAAATTTTTGGGTGACATTTATTGCTTGTAAAAGGAATTGGATTGCCCATCTTGGAGGCTGCAATACTCTGTTTATACACAGAAAGACATGGTGACAGCAGTATTGTAAGGCCTTCTTTACACTAGAAAGTTTTGCTACTTTAACTATACTGGTATAAAGCACCTTTATTTAGCTGACTTAACTGCATCCACACTAGGGCTTTTACCAGTTTAACTATTTCAGTAAACAATCAGACCCCTAGCCTGTAAAACTTTTAAATGTAGACCCAGCTTTAGTCAACAGTCCCACCAGTAGGGTTGCCACTCATCCAGTTTTCACCTGGACAGTCCAGGTTTCAGCTTGTGTGTCCGGGTGCCATTTGACAAGCCCTGATGTCCCTCTTTTTTTTTTTTTTTAATCTGTGGAAACTGCTCGCTGCCAAATTTGAATTTAACCCACTGAGAGAACGCTCACCACCCTCATGAGGAGGGGGACAGAGCCCAGCCAATCATAGCCCGGCACCCTGCCCATCCAGCCAATCACAGCCCACTGCTCTCCCTGCCCCACCCACTCCCAACTGCGGAGTTCATCCAACAGCCATCAGACAGTAATGACTTTCAGTAGCTATCAAACAAGGCTGGAATTGATCTAGTAAATCAGTAAGTTAAAGGTCATATCCTATTACCACTCCCCTACATCATGCCCTTCTCCTAATCAGGTTATAATTATTGCAGTACAGGTGTACTTTGATAACTAGCATTTTTGCCATTTCATAACAATGTTGTTGCTTGTTTCTTTATCCATTTCCATCAACTATTCTCTTAATCAACAACCTATACATTGGAGAAAAATTTCCGAGCAGATATATATTCTAAATAAACACACAGGGTTGGGAAAAGGAAGAGTGGGGAGAGGTCAGCAGGATAGTGAGCATCTGCAATTAATGGAAACGCCATAATCTATGCTTTGTGATACAAACTTCTT